AGAAAGAAAGTCTCAGGATGGGTGAACCTGTATTTCTGGATTCAAATAAATGAAATGACAGTTTCTGTCCCACAAGGTTCTTAAGGTCAAGGGTTTTGACCTTAGGTTAGTTTTGACATCAGGTTAGGTTCACTACACTAGCCTTTTCCTGCTTTTGGTTAGCATTTCCACAAATCATTCAGCTAGTTCTGGCTACATTTTCAACTAGTCATATTAAACAAGTAGTGACAGCTCAGCAATTTAAGATTCACAGCTTGGTTTTAGCTTCTTCAGCAGCCTTCAGCAATACCATGCAGCGATAAACGTTCACAAAGCATTTTCACAGGGCATGACTTTTTTCTTGTTTAAGTTCACTTACTTTCAGTTTAATTCGATTATTTGGTTTAATTAGTTCAAATCAACTCTTTCATTGAATTTTTAAAGTTATTTTAATCATCCTTGCTTCTTAGAGGCAGGAACAGAGACAGACTTTAAAACAACAGACAGATATGTTTTACCTGGGTAATCCACCTAAGTCCCATTCAGCACAAATGTAGGGTCCAGGTCTCAGGATCACCCAGAGACCTACCTCTGCTGCCAAACTGATGTAGGCCCTGAAGCCAGTACAGACACAATAAAACATTTAGTTGACTTTAAATATATATATAAAGTGATAAAACTGTAGGAAACTTACTTGAGGTCCAGCTGATCCTGGAAGTTGAAGGCTCCTCTCTCAGGCTCATGCAGGTTCCAGGGCACATAGCTGCAACCCAAGGACTTTAACACAACATTCACAGGTAGCTCCTAAAATTGTTGGTTTTCATTTTAATGTTAGTATTATCTCATTCTAAACTATAAGACTCTAAGGATTTATTTACGCCCAGAGCTTACGTTGTGAGAGTGTTCAGACCACAGGCCTTCATCTTCAGCAGCCGGTCCTGCCAGTAGGCTCTGGGGACTCTGAAGTAATGCACCGAGCCTCCCAGGATCTGGAAGCGTTCTCCTTGCAGAGTGAAGTGAGATGAGTCGGCCCTCAGACCGTTCAGAACGCTCATGGTCACCTCCAAACAAAATCTGGTGGAGCAGAACCAGCTCTCTGACCCAACCGAGTGTCAGAAAGAGGTTATTAAAATACTGTGAAAGAGTCTGAATTATGTTAGCATCCATTAACAGTACAATATGCATTTGAGATTTAATACAAAGATACAGATCAAACATGTTTTAAACAATGCAAATGAAACAAAAAAAAGCCTTACTGAGTGTTATTAGGGGTGTCCAAAAAGTTTGAACCAAAACCGTGACAGAGCTGTGTATGGAGTGTGAGCTCAGCGGAGTCAGGTGGTGCTGGGAGGCCTCAAACACAGAGAACAGAGAAACTGTTGTTATTTGACAACAACAATGTAATAATACCACTTCTCTGTCTTTTTGTCCCCTGTCGCAGAGCGAAGAGGGGGAGATGAAAATACCATCCCTCCTGCAGTTCATGTTGTAAGGACAATAATATATTTAAAAAAAGAGTTACCAACTTGTTTTGGCATGAGGCTTCATCTGGTGTAAGAAAGGTCCCAATAAAAATTGGGTTGTCGCGTCAAAATCCAAGATGGCCACCACCATATATATTTATGTAAAAGTTTAATCTTAAAAGTTTTACATAAATATATATGGTGGTGGCCATCTTGGATTTTAGATCTTGGATTTTCATCTTGGATTGGACATCTTGGATTTTGTAGAAAAAAAATGGACAAATCTGTGCTGCTCTCTACAGATTCATCCTCTTCATCCTCCTCTCTTGGTCGCTTTTGTGATCCTTCAACTTTAAAAGCGTCACTAACTCCAGCTTCATTGACACTGTCATTGTTTACATCAACATCCACATCATCATCATAAAATCCCTGGATGTTAGGATTGTCTGGTGGTTCGGTGCAGTGAGCTCGGGTCTGTAGACAGGGCAGTGTGTCCTGCTTGTATAATGGAAGGGGAAACACTGGCATATCTCCTGAGGCATGCTCAATAATCCAGGTAGAAAAATCTAACAAAGTTAAGTCAGGTCCAGACAGATGCAAAAAGTAAAAAAAATAAATAAATAAATAAAATTGTTGAAATGTTTCATCTTTTACTCCCCCCCCCCCCCC